ACGACGACCTCAGATCCGGAAATAGGCGGCCGGGCGAAGGAGCAGCTGTCTTTTGGGGTTTAGGGTTTAGGGTTTAGGGTTTAGGGGTTTAGGGTTTAGGGTGTAGGGGTTTAGGGTTTAGGGGTTTAGGGGTCTTGTGGTTTTTGGTTTTGGGGACGTCTTTAAGGGTTCAGTGGTTCAGGGTGTAGGTCTTCAACGATTTAGAAGTGAAGACTTAAAGACACAGATTTTGATTCTTTCATCGGTTCCTGCTACAATGGTTTGAACTGGTATCGCTGTCTTCCCCCTAAACCCTAAACCCCAGAAACAATTGTAGCTCTAAAGTCGGCAGTGCGGCCATAGTGTCCGATCTTCAGCATAAAACAGAAGCCTAAATATTTGCCAACATTATTCCTTAGGGTTCCCTTCTTCTAGTAGAAACTATAAAGGAGCCCGAGACTGTATTCTACTTATTAAGGCTCCTATATTAGGTGTTAGTACAAGTGCATGCGCACTGGCTCATCAAAACTTGCAGTAGCATCTGGACTTGCGTTGGTTCAACATTGACATTCTGCTTCTTCCTGTCCTTGTTGCTGCGATTTTGCCCAGCTACGGCAGCAGTGGCGTTGCCGTAGTAAGCAGTTGCTGGTGTAAATAAACTGTGGGTAAGAAGTAGCCGGCGACAGGTCGGTGTGTCGTTGACCGAGGCCGTCATCCATGTTTATCCTTCGTCATAGAAGCATAGGTGGGTGTAGCATTGGCAGCCGTCCAGCAGCGGCAACAGTGGTATTGCTGCAGTGAGCTAGCAGCGGAACTGGCGGTGGCGGTGGCGATGATCATGATGGGTGTGGCTGTTGAAGTAGTGGCGGAACTAGTGGCAGTGGTAGTAGTGGTGGCAGTGGTAGAAATAGTAGTCCTCCTCCAATCTCCAGAAGGGCTCCTGTTTGCTGAGATGCACTGCTAGCATGTGGCAGTGTACGTCTACGTACTTCCCCAGCTTCGCGAAACTGCAGCTTTGTCAAGATCCCAGGTGCTACCATCCAGAAAATGCGGCACGCTCTGCGACATCCGAAGCATTGCTTCAGTGACGTACTTGTTGCTGTCGAGGACTGGAACCAGTATGATGAGTTTATTCAAGGTTCTGCCGTCTTGTACGAGAACGCGCTGCAACTGCCTTCTGGGACCTGGGTTTGGACAACGAAGGACGAAGGATTTCAAGACAGGCATTGAGACCAACACCTACATCGGCTGCAATACTTTGAAAGGAACTCCAGTCCTGATCAGGCCGTGCACTTATATAAAGAGGTGAGCCCTTAACTCCCTAATCTGATCCTTAAACACTGCAGCGCAAGCTGTGTTACCTAACTCTGAAGCCCTGAGCCCGACAAAGCCCGACCCTGCGGCCCTAAAGCAGAGGCAGTCGCAAGACGAGTATGGTGCGGAGGACGGCATTCTTGAGATCCGGCAAGGCGGAGGGGCCGCAGAGATGTGGCTGCACGAGGGGCAGGAGGTGGCTTGGCTGTGATATAGGTACAGGAACTACAAGTGGTAATGATGATGCGAGTTGCATAAATCAGAACATTGTGATGATACTGCTAGCACTAGTACTGGTGTTCGCACTAACTAGTATAAATACCAGCGCGATGACTACTAGTAGGGCTGATGGAAACAGTAGAACTAGTACCATTATGACTGCTAGTAGTACATAAACCGAAGTACATGATACACGTAGATAGTATGTAGTACACAGCCTGTAGTATGTAGTAGCAGTAGCAGAGTCGGAGTAGTAGTAGTAGTAGTAGTAGTAGTAGTAGTAGTAGTAGTAGTAGTGGTAGTAGTAGTAGTAGTAGTAGTAAGTAGTAATAAGTGTAGTAAGTAGTAGTAGTAGTAGTAGTAGTAGTAGTAGTAGTAGTAGTAGTAGTAGTAAGTAGTAGTAAGTGTAGTAATAAGTAGTAGTAGTAGTAGTAGTAGTAGCAGTAGTAGTAGTAGTAGTAGTAGTAGTAGTAGTAGTAGTAGTAAGTAGTAGTAAGTAGTAGTAGCAGGACCTACGACAGCTACTACTACCACTACCACGATTAGGAAGAGGAGGAGTCGGAGTAGGAGCAGCACCAGCAGCACCAGCAGCACCAGCAGCGGCGGCAGTCATAGTCGCAGTCCCAGTCGCAGTCGTAGTAGCGGTCGTAGTACGTCTAGCAGTCGTAGTGGTCGTAGTAGTCGTAGTAGTCACAGTCGTAGCACTAGTAGTTGTCGTAGTGGTCCCAGTAGTCGCAGAAATGGCGTTGCGCAGTTGCAGAGGTCGCCGCTGTTGCAGTAGAACTTGGATCATCGTTTGTCTCCCCATCATCGACAATGACGTTACTAAGACGCTAATAACATGAATACTCCTGATCCCAAACACCATCATGACCAATCATGTCCCATGACCGTCATTATGAACATCACCAGTCAATGCTCGAGTAGCACTGCCGCATTTAGTGGGTCATCTAAAGTATCTAAGGCACTGGGAAGTCCAGCAGGTGCAAAAAGGCCTCATCATCCCAAGCACAGGAAGACGACGACAAGGAAGTGACGTTCGTGAACGAGGTCCTGCCGGATCTTTTGCTTTCCACAGACAGGCTCTGGAATTGCACCATCCTGATCAAGGACGTCTGCGGGCCCTAAACTTTGGACCCTAAACCCATACACCCCAACCATCATGTTGATCAAACCCCTAGCGCCCCAAGCCCTAAGCCCTTAAACCCACCATCATGATCAAGGACGAGCGGGAACCCCCAGCCCTAAACCCTAACCCCTCAACACAAAGCCTAAACCCTAAACCCGAAGTGAAATCCTTAAAGGCCCTTAAACCCTAAACCCTAAACCCTAAACCCTAAACCCTAAACCCTAAACCCTAAACCCTAAACCCTAAAAGAAGGACGTCTGGGGATTGAGGTTGTTTCCGAACATCAGCTCCGAAGAGGCTCCCTCCTGCCGACAGGCGGTGGTGCTCGAGGTGGGGAGATGCGGAGGTCTTGGGGCTTAGGGATTAAGGAGAGTTTAGGGAGGGTTTTAGGGTTTTAGGGTTTCAGGGTTTAGGGTTTTAGGTTTTAGGGTGGAGAGTCTAGGGAGGGTTTTAGGGTTTAGGGTTTAGGGCTGAGGGTTTAGGGTTTAGGGAGGGTTTTACGGTTTAGGGTTTAGGAGTTTAGGGTTTAGGGTTGAGGGTTTAGGGTTTAGGGATTATGGTTTATCATAGAAGTAGAAGAGTATGAGCTTGAGGTTGACGGCACAGCGCAGCAGGGTTTAGGGATGAGCCGCTAGGATCAAGGGTTTGCGGGGTCGCGGCTGAAAGAAAGCTTACTTACTGTCAACCCTAAACCCTAAACCCTAAACCCTAACCCTAAACCCTAAACCACCAACTTCCCAGGCGAATGGGAAGAGCTAGAGCTCCTCGTTCCGGAAGACATATCCAGTCATCCGGAAAGTGAGGATTCCTCCTAGCAGGTATGCTCGACTGGGGGGCTTGCGCATGTATTCCAAAGCCACCGAGGAGGGTGAGGAGATGTACTGGCTCCGGTGTGATTACGCCACAGGCCAGAATTCCCAAAGATTTTCAGCCTTTGGGGTTCAGGGTTCCCTTGAGCCTTAAATCCTGCACCAGAATACTCTTGTACTCTTTATTTGGTAGTATATCACCATAAGGCTATAATGCCAGAATACTCTACTAATGCAGTACTACAGTACTCTAAACTATATAATACTACAATACTATAATAGCAGAATGCTGTAATACTACAATACTTCATGACTACGCTACTGATACTATACTATATCGCAACACTACTATTTCCCTATATTGTTATAGCATTATAAGACTATAATGCTATGTTGCTGCATTGCTATAATACTACGTTGCTAGAGTACTGCAGTACTACGATCCAGGCCACCCACTGGTCCTGAAGCAGAATGCGGATGGCTCCATTGAGCAGCGCGGCTTCGAGCTGCCACCGGCCCAGTCTGGTTTTTGAGGTGTTGACGGTGTAGAGTTTCGGGTATCGGGCTTAGGCTTCTAGGCTTTTAGGGTTGAGGGTTTAGGGTTTAGGGCTTGGGGTTGACAGTTGAGGCTGGCTTCCTTGAGTTCGTAGTGCACCCACATAGCTCGACAATCTGCTGGGAGAGGTGCATGCTATCTGCTGTAAGCGGGGAGCGCCTCATTGTACCGAACTAGTTTCATGCCGAAGCCTCTAGCCCAGAGGCTCCATAGCAACTACTATTATGGGATTAGGCCCCACAAGACCATCCTCGTTATGTTCTCAGGCCCTAATTCCATAATAGTAGTATATATGAACCGTCTGGGTTGCTTCTGAGTTCCCCAACAGCACAATTCATGCCATGCTTTTCTGTCCCTCGATTAGGACTAGGCATGCTTTCGAACATGTGAGTGTCACGGCCATTTATCTAGACCCGAAACCCTAAATCCTAAACCCTAAACCCTAAACCCTAAACCTTAAACCCTAAACCCTAAACCCTAAACCTTAAACCCTAAACCCTAAACCCTAAACCCGAAGGCTTGAGACTTGAGGTTTGACTCCTGCGGTCCAGATTCTGACTGCAAAGCAACGTGTAACCAACGAGTAACTTACACCCCTAAACCCTAAACCCTAAACCCTAAACCCTAAACCCTAAACCCTAAACCCTAAACCCTACACCTCTCAGTTCGAGAAAGTTACCCAGAGAACCCAATACCCCCTTAATTAAGGAATATACCTTAAATCATAATAGTAAGGCCCCTATCATTTAGGGCATATTCCCTAAACCCTAAACCCTGAACCCTAAACCAAATCATAATATTCAAGCCCCTATGATATAAGGGCCTGTTCGTTCATTAAGGTGTGCTGGGTTCTCTGGGTAATTCGGTCCCCGCTTGTGGATTCCAGGTTTGGCACCAGGCGGACGGACTTCAGAACCTGACGGTGATTGCCGACGCGACCCTAGTGAGGCCCGCAGGTTTGGAGAAGGAGAGGGGTGGGATTCCCAGGGAGCGGCACCATTTTTTTTCGGAATCTTCCTGAGATTCTCCAGAAATAGCTCAGAAAATGTTCTAAGGGTCGTTGAATCAAGCGGATTCAAGTGACTTAAGAAAATTCGTGAAGGGCTCTCTGGGTCGAGGATTCGTTGTTGAGGTGCAGGGTTTAGAAGGTAAGCGCTGTCTTGTGGTTTTTATTTCTGGGCTTTTGGGCGAGGCTTTCTTCAGTTACGAGGGATTTTTTGTAAGTTGATTTTGCCGATCTGAGCCTTGAAAACCCTAAAAAGCCTCGCACGCTCAAAGCCTCTTCACAGAGCCCTTGTCTCCTAAGTTTAGGGCTTTGGCTTAAGCTCTACTTGGAGGTTCATGGGTAGTTCTGAAAGGAGTTATAAGTCCTTTAATGCGGGTTATGACTATGTTATCCTACTTGTAACCCTACTCATAACTACCAATGAACGCCCAAGTACGGGAGTGCAGATGGGCATTTTGACCAAGCTCCACGGGAGTGCAGATGGGAAGCCCTAAACCCTAAACCCTGAAACTTACCATAGGCCCTAAACCGTAAACCCTAAAACTTAAACCCTAAGCCCTAAGCCCTAAACCCGAAACCCAAAACCCGAAAACTCAAACCCTAAGCCCCATAACCCTAAACCCTAAAACCCTAAAATCCTAAAACCCTAAAATCCTAAAACCCTAAAATCCTAAAACCCTAAAACCCTAAAACCCTAAACTTACCCTGCCTTGGCAGTTCAAGAGTTGACAAGCCT